ATACTAATATTCAACCTTTAATTTCTTCTTATTTAGAAATATTGTTAGATAATGTACCTGAAATTGATTACACTTCTCAGATAATAATTTTTGCTGAGCATCTAAAGAAACCAGATGTGTCTGATACAGTATTTCTTGCTTGTCCCATTCTCTTGACTTTGCTCTAAATTCCTTTTAAAAAAGGGGAACAAACATAAATTGAAGAAAATTATTAATTTTAAAGCACAGTAAATAAGGCTTCTTTCCCTTCTACAGCCTCATTCTGAGGGGAAAAAAAAAAGTAAGTCTATTCTTTCCCTATTAGGAAAACAAAAAAAGTATTAATTCACTCATCAAATATAGAATTTGTACTTAAACATTTTCTTTGTTAAAAATGTAAAAACTCTCTGATAACAGATACTGATTACTAATAAGGGAGCTTCAAACAACTTTTGGCATCAGCCAGTTCTTCCTTTCTATTTCCTGGGGCTGATACCAAAAGTTTTTCCCTTCCTTTCCTTCTCTACACTCAGTCATTGAATCTGTTCCCTTGCCTTTTTAAGGAATGGAGCTTTGACTTATTTAGTGAGCTTGTCCCCTTTCAAAGCTACCATCTAAGATGATGCCAAGATCAACTCAGTCTCAAGAATAGAAAAACCATCTCTGCCCTCTTTTAGGCAGTACCAGCCGGACCAAGGCTCAGCTGGGAAGGAAGTGGTGGAACTGGCCTGATACAGCATGCGAAGTTCTTCAAGTTTTTGCTCAAGTAGCATATTCATGGAGCATGATTATCGGTTCACATCTTAATTAACAGAAGATATGGCTTTGGGGATGCCAAAAATAAACTTCACTGCTTCCCAGTTTTGTCTAGGGCTGGTCATTATATCTTATCTTTCAGTCCAGGCTATAAACAACTTAAGGGTAAGTATTTTATTACTTTTGCATTGCTCACAGTGCCTGGCAAAGCGTCGGGCACCACTTATATCCCATGAATGTACAAACAAAAGCGTGGTATTAATTACTTCCTAGAATTTAAACATTTCTTACTAAATTTTGCAAATAAAACAACATAGTTGAAATAAACTCCATAGCTACTAAGTTCATGGCCATATATTATTGCATACAGATATATGGCATGTATGTATTGTTGTATCCAATCATCAATTTAGTAATATTTATTGAGGGGAACTGTCCACTAGGAACCAGAGCCTAGTGTCCACCAGGCAGTGTGATAGAGCTAGGAGCGAAGAGAATTTGGAAATACTTTATGATGAAAAGAACCCATTTCTGAAAGAAAAAAAGTCATATATAGTAATGTAGGGGAAATGTACATATAAACAAAAAATTTTACTGTATGAAAAGTATAAACATAATATCACATAAAAGGCATGCAGGGGGTGGTGTGATTATTTCAGCCATCTTGATAATATGTAAAATTGGAAGATAGTTCATTCGGCCCAAGTGATTTGTATTATTTTGAAGATGGCTGAAATGACCTGATTAGCTGTGACTAGAAAATAAATAACTGATTTAGAGAATGAAAGCTACATCTTGCTTAAAATGGAAACAACATGGATTTCATATTTTCTATACAGAAATGATTTTAAAGAACATTTGGGGAAATTTTCATTTTATAAATCCACAAGACCCAAAACAGTGAAAAAAAACACCAAACCCAAACCTACTGTCGTCGAGTTGATTCCAACTCATAGCGACCCTACAGGACAGAGTAGAACTGCTCCACAGGGTTTCCAGGCAGTGCCTAGTGGATTCAAACGATGAC